ACGATACTGTAGTTAATCCATAGGTTAATGTCCAATGTGACTGCGTCCCCTTTGAAATGTTCTGATAATCCATAAGCAATAAAACAGCTTTTCCGTTGCTTGATATCAGAGCAGGGAAATGTCTCCCCTCTGCTGCAAGCTAGCATGCGCAGAGACGCCACCTTTTTTTTTTTAACTTGAGTGTGTGCGGGACGATTTCCCTTGGATTCTATTGGCTCTAACGGTCAGAAAGAGATGTCACATGTCAAAATCGAAGAAGGGGGGCCAGAGATATGGAAAATCCACCCAAATGGCCCCAGAAGAGGTTTTTTTGCTAAATCTGTCTAAAAAGGTCAAATATCACTTGATTGATCAGGTCTATTGATACAGGGTACTTATTATATGTTGAACTTTTGATCCCTAAAGCTTTTAGTCTACTAACCCATCATCCAAGGTTAGTTTTCACTATAAGTACAACATATTTTTTGGACGGACACTATAATTTACAGTTTTTTACCATGTTCAATCTGAATTTTCTTTAAAATAATAAACATCTATATTGATTCTGACTTTTTTCTACATCCAACTCACAGGTTTATCATTACTTTGAGAAAAAAGATTATCAATTTAACCCTTTTAGAAGGGAAGATATGGTCATTTGTTCTGAGAATGTCATTTTCTAGCCTGAGACCTGAAAAACAGGCTTGGGCCATATCTGAGCCCCTTTTCTTAAGCTTGGGTAGATAATGGGATGTCCCATTTCACATATCTCCATTATGCCTTGTGATTGTACTTGTATTTCTTAAACGTTTGTAAATAAAATGAATTGAATTGGGTTTATACTTTAACCAACTATGGTTGCTAGTATGTTGCTGTCTATGGTTCTATGTGTAGGTAGGTGATAGCTATGTTGTTTGGGGTGGTTGATCTCACAGACGCTGTTTTACAGCTGGTTGATTGTGTGTTTGCATTAGGTCATTGCTATGGTGATTCCTTTGTAATTGTACTATGTATTTTCTTGTTAAACACTTTCAATTAAATTATTGTTATTTTAAGAATCGCCATTATTATTAGTATGATGATGTATGTATGAATAACCTGAGTAGTCATTGTGATTATCATTTTTATTATTTTGACTCTGGTTAAGATTGTGTATAAAGTATACAATGTTTTTGCAGTTATTACAGTTAGGTTATTTATCATGAATAAATATGAAATGTCTGATAATACTGCTGATTTGGACACATTTAAAGGAAGAATGACAACTCCCTGATACACACTCTTGGAAAATCAGATTGGAATAAACACATTCTAACTCTGTTAATTTGAATATTATGTGTGCTTGTCACTGTATGTATTTATGTAAAAATAAACAACATGTAAAACTCTGTGGGCTGGGCTATCTGTCTGTTTCTGACCTGGGGGCAATGAGAAATGTAACAGCCTGGCTGGTGGATGGTAAGACAGAAGCTCTGGGAGAAGGTCAGCATTCTCACTCAAAAGTCTGACACGCAATTATATCGCCAACACAAGCTGCTTGACTACATGCCGAAATAATGGGCAGAAGTTTCAGAACAACAACTAACCTTTAAGTGTTAAGAGTTGGATACTCATGCACGGGATAGATTGAGAGAGAAAGAGGGAGGTAGGAGGAAGACATGGATTGGAGGGAAAAAATAGAATGAGAAATAAAAAAGTCTGATTGAGAAACAGAGAAAAGAGATGGTTGGAGTAAAACAGGAAATGTTGGGTAATAGAAGGGGAAAAGACAGGGAAGGAAAGGGTGGAGGAAACCCAGGGAGAAACACTGGATGGAGAGGTGACACAGGAGGAGATGGTATGTTAAAGAAGAAGAGACAGGTTGGTGTAAGAGCCCCCCCCCCCCATCATCCCTCCTTCTCTCATCCTTTCCTCTGAGTCGTTCTGCTCTGATGACTCACAGAGAAGAGGCAGAGGCAAATCTGCTCCCTGCAGCCGCTCCTTGCTACAAATGAGTTTAGGCTGAACCCAAATGAACTCCTCACAGAGCCTTTACTTCACTCTTACCAGAGCAAAACATGCAAAGCCAGATCTCCTGGAGTTCATTTGTAGCCCTAAAGCCAAACAGAAGAAATACTGCCATCATCTAAAAACACCACTATTGCTTGAAATCCCCTTGTTCTGTGCACTCTACGCAGCAATATTGCATAAGATAGTGTGGAAATAATAAGATCTGAGTCAAATGTGATGTGTTTGGTTGCCTCAGAGTTCTAATGGCCTTACTCTGGCAGTAACCTCAATTGTACTGCTTTTCAAGTTAATAAATTATTTTCTATTGTAAATTAACATGCATGAATAATTCATGTTTTGTGTTGAACATGACCTTAACATTTTGGCCTCATGCATCTCATGTGTGTCTCTGTTTTCCCCCCAATGACCTGGGGGTTCACAAATCCTTTTATTTCATTGTGTTCAAGCTGTGAAGCACTTTCACTGCAGGGTTTTGCATCATGTGAGGCACGTTGCAGTATTGTTACCTGAGCTTTAGAACACTCAAATTATTTTGAACTCTTACTGGAATTTGACAGCAACAGTCCCCCAGTTATCTTCCTGAGTCTTCCAACAAAGAAAAAACGATTATCACCTTGCCTTCCACAACCTGCCTGCAATGACTGCTTCACTGTGGGGTGAAATACCATTGCAATTTAATTATTGTTTGACAGCCCACTCAAGAAGAAAGGCACTCGGTTCCTCTCATCTATTTCAATTAAAAGGGAGCCCCAGTCACCTTTATCTGCAATGACCACAAATGAAGATAAAAGTTAAATTGCAGGTGGTGAAAGAAGTTGAAGACATTTTGAGTCCTAACGTATGTTGGTGTGTTGGAGCTTGAGCAGAAAGGTCATGTTAGTTTGCTGTGTAATGCTTAAAGAGCAACTTCCAGGTTAAAGACACCTGTGAATAAATGTGTAGGAAAATGATGTATACTGTACACTAGATTTTCTAAAAAATATACAGAAATATACACTACAGTGACATCTGGCGTTTTTGTAAGAAATGTTCACTTCCGCATAAAAAAGCCTCGCACGTGACCTCCCGCGTGTGACGTAACACGGGGGAAACAAGGGGGAGAGCAGCCGGTGTAACGTATTAATAAACATGGATCCCAATGCTAGTTTCGACACAGAAGACACAGAAGAAGTTGAACATGAATATTCAAATGCATATGACGGACCACAACCTTATAATTATGAGCCTGCTAGGCGTCCAAGAGACCAGGAGCAGCCAAGGATTAGAAGAAATAACGGCCATCGGAGAGAAATTGAGCTGTGGTGTGAGGAGAACCAGTTCTAATCCTTGGCTGCTCCTGGTCTCTTGGACGCCTAGCAGGCTCATAANTGTGTGCACCTGAGTTTTGTGACACTACAGGAACAAGGGAATAAGAGGAGATATAGGAGAGGAGAGGACACGTTATGGAACTAAAGCCAGTATCGTTTTTTAACCAAACCCATGGGGCCTAAGACTGCCATTCAATAGCAGACAGAGAGCATAGTCTGAATTCTAATTGTCAACCCTTGGAGATAAAGCTCACATAACACACACACAGAATCACTCACACACACAGAATCACACACACACACAGAATCACTCACACACACAGAATCACACACACACACACACACACACACACACACACACACACACACACACACACACACACACACACACACACACACACACACACACTATGGAGAGTGAGAGACATTGAAGGAGAGATGGAAGCTAGGAAGTATCCCTGGCTAATCTACACTTACCACACTACACAGCAAATAAAGAACAAAGACATCCAGTACACTGCATGAGTCAACACATGTATAACTTTGTGGTAAAGAAAGAAGGAAAGAGGGAGATAGTGATAAGGAAGGGAGAGGAAACATAAGGTGCATGGGGAAACGAGGGAGACGTTCATCTGACAGATGAGTGCAGTAATGAGTGACAGCATGATGGGAATGAACACTTCAGGGACTCTGAGAGAAATTACACAGGCAGTGTGATGTTACAGTGTGGGATTGTATAGGTAGTATACAATGTATGTGGGAAACACATTTAGAGAACAATGCAAAAATGTCTTTAGGTACTCAAATAAACATGTGGATCATTATCTGATCAATAATATGTATCTAGTAATATATAAAGGTTCTTTTTCTAATTCACAAATCTTTAAACAGACTCCATACACATTAACTATTATGTGAACCAGAAACAAGCATGTTTTACTTGTTTAGAGAAAGAAAGTATTTTGAAATAACTTTAAAAAAGGTAAATACATGGCTTCTATGAGTAAACAATACACCAACTTTTCTCAAAAACACATTAATTGACTTGCTCTATAGAAAAATACACTTTGTATTTGACCTCTGAGTATCCAGCATGTATATACTGCTTCGTTGCAAGCTGTTCGTTTTAGCTTTAAAGTGCAGAAACTTAGAAATGAATATGGGAAGTTCCAAAACTAACAAAATATAAGTTTAAAGGATGCTGGTCTGCCACTTTATAATCAGAACTAACTCCTCTAATTTGGCTTTAGTGTGTGGTACTGACTTCGACCTTTCAAAAACACTGACTGAGCACAGGTTGGATAAAGTTCCAATTCTTTCCACCTCCACAAAGAGAATATTTCATGGTCCTTTGGGCATACTATCATCCCTCCTTTTACCTCCTCCTCCTCAGATAACACTGTTCTAGCAACCTAATTATTACCAAAGTCTGGAGGAATATGTGTGGGTGTGACAGAGAAAGGGAGAGAGGAAGTGGAGGTAAAAGAAAGGAGAAGAGGGATCAAAGAGTCTGGTCGTTTAGTCCTCAATACCATCCTCCAGCTCCCCTGCCGAGCATACTGCAAAACACACATCAAAAGAACAGGAGTACGCGCAAACATACACACACCTGCAGCGCCCTCACCACACTGAGATGATGCTCTCTTGAAGTAAAAGAGTTGCACCCGCTGGACTGTTCACGGCTAGAAAACGATTCTTTAGAGGGATGACTGGTGCCAAGAAATCAATCTTAGCATTAACACTTCATAGAGGCTGCTGTTTATAGATGTGTACTGTGCACACCGGGAGTCTCAGAAGCACGGTAGCGCCTCTGTATTGCCTGATACGCATTTACATTATGTAAATAGGTTTTCTCACAAGACAACAATCTTTTCTTTTTTCCATTTCTCACTTTCTCCACCATCAAACAACACCAAACCAAATCTAACAAGCAATTTCCTTTCCCCCTTTCTGTCTGTCTGCCTCTCCATCTAACTGACAAAACTCACACACATGCTCACACACACAAAAAAGCTCTGGTGTAGAGACATGTCAGCCGTTATCAGTCTACTCACCAGCATATCTGTGGCATGAAGGTAGTGCTTGCTTGCCATGTAGGCCTCCAGCCGTTGAGGCACCTGCTTGATGCTTTCGATCTCATCCAGCAGCTGCAGGACGTGCTTGTGCTCGATGCCCTCTATCCACAGCTTCCTCAGCTCATCTCTTTTGCAGTGCAGCAGCATCTTACAGGACAGGAGGTTCTCCTTCACCTGAAGAGGGAGTTGAAATCAAAAAAGGTGTTGTTGAGAAAGCCGAGTGATAAAAAGCACAAAGTAAGTCCATCCATACTTCTAAATGTTTGAACCATACATGTGTGTGTCATCATTCAGATAACTTTGAGAACTGTTTAATGGTGAAGCAATGCTTTCCCCAACCTATTATTTAAATACTCTTTAATATCTAAGTGTAACTGCTTGAATCAAGTCAAAAAAGTGAATTTTTGATTGAGCTCAGAGTTTGCCAGCATGGAATGTGAAAAGAGCATGAGGCCATAGCTGTAAAGGAAGATTAGAGCCATGACAGCTAGGCCCTTAACAAACTGGATTTTCGGGGCTCACTTTCATCAAAGAATCAAAATGTCCAGTTGCACAGAGTACTAACAGTAATAAAAGGTGACATTAACTGGTTAGCATTAATATTGTCAAGTCAAATGCATCTAACATCAAACAATATATAATCACATTTCCCTTTTTTTGTACACTTTTATTTGTTCGTCTGGGAGACATCAATATATTTTTTGGTGTTTCTGTGCTTTAGTTCAAGTACCTTGAAAGAATTTGCAATTCCATTAAGAGCTCTGCACTCCTACACAGGTGTTTGCACTTCTGGCTGATTAGCTTAGCTGATTTTAGAGCTATGCTTGGAGAATGCAGAATTCAAAGAGTCGGCAGGAACATTAAACAAAACACATTTTGATCTTTCGGTTTCAGAGTTCATAACTTGTCTTCATTTAAAGACAGAACTTGGTTACACTTCGGTTTGCTTAAAGAAGCACTTGGACACGGGTTGTCTTTTTTGCAAGGTCTGTATTGGCTGATCAATGTTAAGTGTGATAGAGAAATGTATGTCCTGAGACTAAGGATTGTGGCTTGAGCGTAGGATATTTAAGTAGGCAATTTAAAAACAGAATTTTTGCTAATTAAGTCAGTCTGTCAGTTTTGGAGAATAACAAAAGACATAAAAAACTATAATCAATTATTATGTATGAACACACAAAATAAAAATTATTCAATAAACAAATTCAGTTTTTAATTGCACATCACTAATCTAAAATCCCTCCAAAAAAAAGTTAGTGTGAACTAGGAGTATTGGTTTCCCAGAACCTTCAGTGTCCATTTGTGTATAAAGTGTCCCATTCCTACCTGTTTGATCTTGTTGCGGGAGCTGGTGATGCGCTCTGTGATGCTCTGGTAGGTCCTGATGGCGGTGGTAAGTTCGGCATAATGCTGAACGATCTGCTCGTCCAAATCTCTGTCACATGTCTCAAAGGCCTCTTCCAGACGACCCTTCTCTGTCTCCCTGTCCTGCACATCATCACTGCTGGACAGAGTCCTGCGTAGGAAAAGAGAGGGAAAGGTAAAAGGTTTGACTCAGTTACCACATCCACATCATGAGTGTGAATGAATGAGGTGGAGAGCAGAAACCCTCAGGAAATGACCATTACAAGCTGATATTGAGCTTCGTATGAGCTTACATAAAGTATTTTAAAAGGCAGCCGAGGGTGTAAAAAGAAAACTGACATATTCCAACATACACCTCCGGTAAAGGCAGCATGGCAACATTGACAGAAACACTGAATGGATATTCCTGACCTCCACTTAGAGAACTCTTACTCTTTTTGTATCAACTTCCAATAAATGTTCCTCTTTCTAAACGAGAGCAACTTTTTTTTAAAACAGTGCATTCCACCTGTTACACCTGTTAGCTGCAGGAGTCACAGTGATAGTAATTTAATTGCAGTGTATACTTTTCACCTAATACATCTTTTTAATACATCTCAAAGTTATAGATGAGAATTACTAGTTCCGAAATCCTACGAATTCACAGCAACTGTGGGTAAGAAACATGCCAGAAAGCCAAGCTTTGTGCACTTCATTAAGCCAACCGGAGTAAAAAATGTACCCATGTACAATATCTTTCGTACATTTAAACAAGGTTTTTATGAAAACCGTTTATTTTGTAACAAATACTTGGTGAGCTTCAAATTGTGGGAGAATACGCAAACAATGTCCAAGATTCAACATTTTATTCTGCTTCAGGAACAAATAAAACTGCTGTTGATATTAACCGACATATAAACAATATCGTTCATAAAAAATTGCAACGGTATGTGCTTTCATTTTATACATGTCTAAAAAATGCAGGAAGGATATTGCTAACGTAGCTTTAGCATACAAGCTAGCTGTCAATGAGTGTCAGAGCAAATGCGAGCCCACCTTAAGACTTTTCATACGTCTTACCAGCGCCGTATAGTAAATATAAAGAATGAGACAAGCCTTACCTTATGACAGAGATAAGAAGACCAGAAGGGTCTTTGTTTTTGCTAACTGCAGTCCTGTATCTCCCTGTCTCAGCTGCCATTTTTTCCAGCTGCGGCACCCAAACAGGAAGACACAAGCGCGAGTTAAGGAAGGAATTCTGGGAGTTGTAGTATGAACATGAAAGTAGGTCTGCCTGCAGTGTTGCTCATTTTCTCTGACTTCAGATTTGGTCACCATCACATTTTTAAAAACTATTATATTTGTATATAACTATCATATATATTCTAGATAAGCTGTTTAATTATTCTGTGTTTGGTTTCTTTATTTGAAAAAGGTAAAACTATTTACATTCTGAGTAATTTTAACAATTTACAGTAATAGTTCTATCTTTTTAGGTCTATTCTTTTATAGTAAAAATGTTGCTTGAGACAAAACAGCCATTTTATAGTAACATTATCATTTTAGATTATTAAAAAGTGCATGTTTATTTGATCTCAGTCAACACAGATCTCCCTAGATGAATAAAAAGGCACATCCAGTAGGTTGTGCACAGTTGTGCAGATACTGATCCTAGTTGATGTGTTGTGATGCAGCATAAGATTATTAGTTGTGTTTTATGTTCATATTTTAAGATTTTCCTTTGCATTACAAATATCACAATAGAAAAACAGTTTTCTTTACAACAATTTCAATCCAGTCCTCATGAGACTGATAAGGGAAAGGCTGAGCAGAGAAGAAAGGAGATAGACAGTGTGTCAGAGAGTTAATAGCTTCCCCCATTTAGAACATATAGTGCCGGATTTGGCAGGAGTCTTTGCTCTGTATCTTTGACAATCTCTGCTGTACCAATGAGAATGGGAGAGGGCATTGATTCGGGACCAAAGGGGGTCGATTCCCGGGAGCCTGGGCCCTGATTGATGCACTGGTGGACTGAGGAGATAACATTGTGGGCGATCTTTGTGTCTATTGCAAAAAAAAAGAAACAATCGCTGTGTCATTCGGGAGCCACAGCTTTTCTTCTGAAGGTGCGTAGCTTCCCAGATCCAAGTTTAATTTTCAAGTTCTTATCACCTCTCCCTGCAGCCCAGGACCCATCAGTCCAACTAATCCACAGAGCTTCTTTTCTCCAATAATGCAGCACCAAGGTTATTTCTTTCAGCTTGATGTGTTTTTGGAAAGTAAGTGATTACTTTGACTGACTGACCTGTGTGTGGATTAACTACAAGGGCAATAAGGTCTTTGTAGGACATGCCTTTGTGATCTGTTTATATAGATCTAAATGCAAATGTTGCATATCAATTACTGTGTCCTTCATCAGAGATTCAGTAAAAAAATATATAGGAGGTGATGTTATGCAAAAAATAGCTCAATTGTTAAACTTTAAAAGTTAAAATACATAATTAGTGAATATGGTTCTTTAAGAAACAGAAGCTGTTATTAATTAATGTAAGAGTAAAGTATGTCAATAAGTAAAATAATGCATTTAAGCAGGTGTATTCTTGGTTCTGCTGGTCATTCAATAATTAATATCCTTGGACTTGGGGATCTATTTTGATGTATTTCTTTGTTGAAATAGCTTTGATCATTATCAACAGAAAATAAGAAGTATTTTCTCTTATCCAATGACACCCCATGGACATTTATAATAAAATGTCATCCCTTGGTGATTAGGTAGTATGTACTTCTTTGCTTGTTTCCATGGAAATGTGGTTAGGGAAACAGAAAAACACTGCATCTATTATGCCCTGCAGATTTTTCACATAATCTTGAATTGGATCAAACAACACATTGGTCTCATATCTCCAACTTGATGCACTACCAACAAAAGGGCCTCAAACTCATTTTATACTTAAGGTTTTTGACCAATTTATTTTCCAGACACTCTTCATTCATCTCATATATTTGTAAAGTAGAGCACACCATTTTACAAAGATGACAGCGAGGTATTATATAAAGTAAAGATGTTTGGATATCTAATTGACATCACAAGACAAAGCGCAGTAAGAAATATTGCCAAAAAGCAATAAAAGTATGCAAAGGTTGGGAAGATAAAACAAGATAAAGAAATAAATTCTTCTTGTATAATCTAGGAGTTGCTATGAAGTAGCAGGTTTTTAAATAAATAATTGCAACAAATCCATGTTCAGTAATGCTGAAAATTATGTTCACATAATCAGACATGTTAGGCAGCAGTAAGATAAGAGAAAAATACCGCTGAACATGCAGGAAAACCTAGTTCTCTCTCCCCTGCAGACAATCATGAAATAAATATAACCAATAGATTTACTTGATCACCAGCAGCATGCTTATTATCAAAGTTGCGAGTCAGTCTTGATAATAATCATGTTTATTATAATAATTCTGTCATAAACAACAACCTTTCACACTCTGGAATTTAACCACTGTCCCATAAGCACTTTATTCAATACCGCCTGAGGCATTCGAGAGAGTGCCCTCAGGGTATTACTGCATTTTCTAATTCTTTATTATGTAATCTGTTCATCATAGACTTGTTTTAGTGATGGGGCAGTCCCCTTGGGGAAATCTGTCCATGACAATATGACAAGAGTTAAAACATTTTAATTCATATTATCTCGGGGAGCACAGAAAATGAAAAATCGATGAAACCTCGGGATCTGCATGTTTTTCAATGTGTTGCGTGATGGTATGTATACACCGTAACTATGTAGTCCGTCTAAATTGACTTTGAATCATGGCTCCAGGGCATGATCCTGCCCTACATACCTGCTTATTACCTTCCAAACATTTACCTTCTTTGTGTTTTCAGTTTTTTAATAACCACTTCATTTAATCTGTTGTGCTTTCAATCCTTTCTTTCTTTATTGTTAGCTTTCTTTTCCAATTAGTTCAGATGACCTTGATATGTGTCTTCTTCAACATACAGCCCAGTCAGCCTGGTAAAGAGTTTTAAATTAGTAACATCTATGTTTTCAAGATGTACATTGTGCATTCCAATGTGAGTCATATGTGAATATGACATTTTTCAATCAATGACAATTCTTTAAAAAGATTGTCATTGATTTATGCTTGCACAGTATCGCAAATATATACAATGCAGAAAACGTGAAAAACAAATATCAGCAGAAAGGAGCATAATAAAAAAAAAATATTAGATTAGTTTGTGTGTGTGTGTGTGTGTGTGTGTGTGTGTGTGTGTGTGTGTGTGTGTGTGTGTGTGTGTGTGTGTGTGTGTGTGTGTGTGTGTGTGTGTGTGTGTGTATATGACTTATCAAGTTAAGACTATGATTCTCATGAAATGTCATCCCTTATAATATCCTCTCTCCTTGAGGCAGATCAAATTTCCAGCAGCAATGTAATGTCGCAAGGCTCAGGGCTGTATGAGTTTTTGGATATGATATGGTAAAAGAAAATGAAAAACCAACAATAATATAATGGTATAGCAATGCTTGGAGTCTGTCTAATGCCTGTAGAATTTTTTTGTTTGTTTTTATAATAACAATTTAAATAAATAATAATTGATGTTCAGTATAAAAAACTGAACTGATTCTCTGATGGAGGTCCAGGCTTCTCCCTCTTGCTCAACTCTAATTTACATATTTACTTCAGTGTTTTATTCACCATTACTCTATTCTTTGAAATGTCTTTCTTGCCCACTGGTCATCCTGGTTGGGGTTTTCACTTTTTTGGATCGCCTAACCTTCTCACACTTTCAAGTAGTTCAAAATTATTCTCATGACTGTTTTGTGTCATATCATCAAATTGCCTTCAAGCCTTTTCTGCTTTGTTCCTGCATGCTCCCCTCTATCATGTTTCATTCTTCTGTGTTTGATTATCTTCCTGCTTGCCTTGCTCCCTTTGGATTTGTTTGTCTGTTTTGACTGGCTGCCTGTTGCTGAATAAGCCTCCTTGCTGGCAAGTAAATCCTTGTTTTATTACATTAGTTCAACTTCATTGGTCCAAGAACTGTCCACACCTGTGGTGCTGACTGCAGGATTTATTTTGTATTTCCCCATCCTCTCTACTGGGAGCAGAAGGCAGATTTAGAAAATGAATAGCAATACCCAGACACATGTCATGGAAAATGAAATCAACAACTATTGTTGTTCACACATTAATTCCCAGGATTAAATAACTCTGCTGTATATATAACAAAGACACGCCATGGGAGAAATATCAGTAAAGTGTTGACTGTTAGAGAAAAATCTAAGAAAGTAAGGAAACACAAGGATGGTGAGCAGCAGAGACATATCCCATACAAAATGGTTTAAACATCATGTCAGCATGATGAATGGAAAATACTCGTAAGAGCGGTGCAGAGAAATGATCAATTGAAGGCAGACAGCAGGATAGTAAGTGTCGATAAACTTCAGTGGAATTGGATTGCATGACAATTTTGAGTCAAAGTGTTGGAAAATGCTGTTTTTCATTACATCAGAAACAATGACCACTGATTAATGTAAATGAAATTGAAAATAATGCCGGGAGGACCACAAAATCAACCCTCTGCTAAGCCAGCTCTGAACTAAAGGGTCTTCGTCAGAACATGCACATTTAACGTGTCTATTTCAATATGTACTCATTGTGTCTTGGTTTTCCCTGCCATATCTGACGGCATGATTATATCAATCCTATATCCCATCTTATTTTCTCAGTGAATTTCTTACTCTGTATTGCTCAGACCAGCGTTTGTGTTGAGTTCAAGTCCTTACTTCATTATTTATGATATTATTTCTTCCTATAAGTCTTCTCACATCTTAAAGCAGCTTAAATAATGATACATTTTCCTGGTGGTAGCCATTATGTAAAACATTTAAATGAATTTTGATTCCATTTAATCAACATTACTAACACCATTATGCAAATAGCCTTTATTTTAAGAAGTTTAAGGCAAGTTATTAACAAGTGTATTCATATTCATAGGGCTGGATACTGAACACTCAAGACTCTGAAGTTCTGAGGTCAGAGCAAATTGCCAACTGAGCATATAGCTGAGCAAAAAAAGGGTTGTGGATATGTTTTTTCATTCAGCAACCCGAAAGCTATGCCAAGTCTTATCATCAGGAGCAATGTATTCAGAACAGAAGACGTACATAATCCTATTCTTACATCTTAGAAATATTGATGTTTGTAAAATATTTGTATAATAAATATAAATTGATGAAAAATGTTGTTTTAGTGCAATATAGGTTCTGTGTCTCACAATATTATAGCCTACTTTAGTGATAGATGTACATATACAAATATTCTCACAATTTGCCAAGAAAATATGATAACTGTATTCGTTGGAAGAAAGTGCTATTTAAACTTCTATTTTCAACAGTGACTATATTGAAAATATTGTTAGTACAAGTGGTGCTGTCAGTGGAAAAGAGAAAGCTCTCTCACTCCCACACTACCGCTAAAAAACAATAACCAATGACAGTCACTGATGTTAGGATGTTGACGCTTCTGTCCAATCAACTTGCTCGTTCTTCGAGCACGTCATGCTACGGAAGTGCAGACTTGCCGAAACAGTGTGGGCCCTAGCAGGCTATACTTAGCTATAACAAAAGTACACTTTAACATTTAGGCATTATATGTAGATAACTGACATTTAACGAAAAATGGGAGCAAACAACAGTACCCGGCGCGTGTCATTTGAGTCGGACGAGAATGAAAATGTATCGGTGGTGAAGGGCATACGGGTAAGTGACAGTATACATTACATTACATGGTTAGTGTTGACTAAACAGGTGCTTTTTGACTGCTTTAAAGCAATGCCTGTAATACAATGATGTAATTAAGTTATTAGGTTATAGTGTAAGTAACTATCAAGGTGCTCTATGGATTGTAGCAGCTATGCTACGCTGATATTGCGAGCAACCTGACTTCCATTCACTCTGAGTGCTAGTACGTTATTATAAAAGTAAATAAGGAGGATACAATGTAACAATATATAGTTTATAGACGCTGCAGTGTCTGTGAGACAGAAAGCTCTTCAATGTCATTTTGGTAATGTTGACGTTGACGTCACTAGCCTCGTGCTCTTCTGTCAGTTACTCAATGTATGAATGAATCTTACATTTTGTTGTATATTATGTTATTCTTTGAGTTGACGAGGATGCATGTGAATGAAGTGACTAATAGCTTGTACTTAGGTCAGCTGTTGTTAAATACAGATTGAGAGGCTTTAGTCGATTAGTTAAGACTTCAATTGTCATTGCTCTGTCTATTATTACTTTGTAGGACAATTGTGGCTATTGTTATCTTTCAGCGAGGTCTTATCCTGTTTATACTAATGGTGTTATGTTCTTTTAAACATGAACAAAAAAAACGTTGTCTTCTCCACAATGTATAGTTTACTAAAGGAACATTTGGGGGAAATACCCTTACTGCTTTCTTACTGAGAGTATGACAATATGATCTAATTTAGCATAAATACTGAAAACAATAGTCACCTTTACAGCACACACAATGCTACGTTTAGTCTTTCAATTTGAAAGAAAACAAACATGTAAACGTGACATGGTGTGGGTCTTACTGGTTTTACTGGAAGTTAAGTAAGAGCATTCACTTTATATAACCACTATATAGGGCTATCTTTAAATGCATCACATTGTTCCACTGACACTTCTTTCACTCTTGCATTGCAGCTTTCTGAGAATGTCATCAACCGTATGAGGGAACCTGAAGCTCCACCTAAAGCTCCACCTAAAGTCCTGCCTGCTCCCTCTTCACCACCTTCTATGACACCTACCATCACTCCTTCTCCTTTCATACGTCCAGTGCCTCCCATCTTTGACCATATCACCCCATTGCCTCCTCTCCCTTCCCTTGTAGAACCTGTTGCACCTCCTCCAGCTCCATCTACCACAGAGACTGTGGCTGCACCTACACCTCCTCCACCTCCTGCTAAAACACCTACAGAACAGGTAGCAGCACCCACCATAATTGACATGGTGCTCCCAACTTCATCTGTCCCTGCTCCTGCTTTTGAGCCTGTGGCGGCACCTCCTCCTCCTGCACCTGCTGCTGCTGCTGCTGTTGTTGTTGTTGAGCCAGTCATTTTGCCTCCTGCTACTCCCATTGCTACCCAGATTCTCTCTCCATGCCCTGCTACAGCCGAAGTGGAAGTGATCACTCCACTTGCTCCTCCTAACCTTTCAATCAAATCTTCTCCCCCTGCCATAAATGAATCCATTGCTATTTGTCCTTCATTAATTGAAGCCATTGCTGCTCCATCTGTAGCCATAGCACCTCCTCCTCCTGTCAAGACAGAGCCCACCATAGCTTCCCCTGTTCCCGAACTGGTACCCCTCTCTTCCCCTCCTGTTTCTGAGCCTGTCACTATCTTGCCGCAGACAGCTGAGCCATTCGCTGCACCTCCTCTGCCTGAGTTTACTGCTCCTTGTGAACCAGTTGCACCTCCTCCTCAGCCCCCAGTGGAGCCAGCATCTCTTGTGCCTGAGCCAGTGGTAGTACCTGAGGTGATCTCAATCCCACCACCTCCTGCTGCTGCTGCACCACCCGGTGAGTTTTTTTCCCCAGTATGCTACAAGTAAAGGGTTTGTCGTATATTTCACAAACACATTATGAATAAGGAAATAAGTTCATGTCTTCAGAGCATATGTTGGTCAGTTATATAGTGTTTGTATCGGCCAAATAAAACAGAAAATGTAACTCAAAATGAACTGCCGCTGGGGCACCAGTTGCAAATCTTATGGAAATCTTCCGATGTCCAGGCAAGAACATTGTCTTTGTGCATTTATTTAGTAGAATTACAATAATCAAACATACATAGAACAATGGTTTCACCTGCGACCTCTGCTGTGTTTTCCCTGGTTATTTTGTTTTTGCCTCTAAAGCAGCGTCCACACGGCGGCGTGCGTTGAAACTTGCCAGCGGGCGTGTCGACCAACAACCAATCACATGAATCTCCCGCCCCGGACACAAGCACGCGGTTTGATTGGCTAGACTAGAGCTACTGGCATAATGATTTGATTGGCTGACGCTTCCGTCGAAGCTTCAAAAGTTGAACATTGCTCAACTTTTGAAGCGAGCAACGCGAGCAAAGCAAAGCTCCTACAATGTAGTTCGGCAAAGCGTGACGTCACCCCATTCAAAGTGAATGGGCAGAAGCGTTGAAGCTTCAACGCACGCCGCCGTGTGGACGGGCCGTAATGGTGCGCCAATACCATAACCACCTGTGTCCAATATATACATTATCACCAGGTGCCTCAATCACCCAGTGCCCAAAGCTGCCTTCAAAATAAAAGCACAAAGGATTACATTTACTAAAATAACTAAACTATATCATTATAAATGTGTACTATAAGCATAAACACAAGGAAAAGAAGGTTTAACTTTTAAATAATATAAATCCAACAGTGTTGATTTAGACTGCATGATATTCTGGTAGTTTTATGTCGTAATTTTATGAAAAAAATAGTCTAACCAAGATTACAGTAGAATGGAAGAAGGAGTTGTTTTGTGAGGATTAACTAAATGCTTTCTGAATTATTTTAAGCTTTTCGGATTTAATACTCTTTTCTATTACAATGTTTTAACTGGATTTGTGCAGTCATTTTTAACCAGGGAGACAGAGACAGGAGTGAATGCTCAAAAACTGAAGAAATTAATTGTTCTTTGTAATGGCTAATTTCTCCTGAATGCTTTTTCAGCATAGTGGTTAATTAGAAGGCGAAGGTTATGAGGGAATAAGCTTTCTAAGGATTTAAGTCCAGTTAATGATGTTTATTGTGGGGGTGTTTACTTATAGCCACCTTAACCTCTTGTCTCCAACTTTTCGTGCATATTGTATTTTCGTTGTCCTTATTTAAAGACATTTATTTCATTGAAGCCTTGGTCATGTTATGATTAATTGCCATTCGCAAACTGTTAATGAAATAATTAATTAATTCGTTTTTTTGTTAATGTTAATACATGCATTCTTTAATTAGTGGCCCTCTTCATTGTGGAGCTCTACTTGTCACAATGACCCTACTTCTTCCTGCACGTTGTTAGAGCACTCATCTAGGCTAAACACAGCAGTAGTGGTTATTTGATCTGCATGGAAAAGTTTTCCCTCTCGTCTTTATTATAACTGTTTTACCTCCATTAAAGCAGTTTCAATCTATATGTTTTACAATGGATGTCAAAGAAGGCAATTTCCACTGCCTCAAACTTCCAAAAACAATCTGTAATTAAAAAGCAGAAATGGAAAGTCGTGATAATGAACAGAAACTTAAATGAGTTGATTTTTCGAAGCTTTTGCAAAACGTTAAGTCTCATTATAAAGCTTAAATACATATGTTTATTATTTGAAATATCAAATAACATCCCTGTCACTATCAGACATATGCAATCAATATAGTTGATTGTTATTCAGCTACATTGTTTACGTTCTAAAAAGATGTATGTGGACACTCAAACACAAACAAACTCACTATACTTTTGACTCCAATTCAGCTTTGTACAATTGCAACATCTATACATACGTATACATTTGGAATGTACTATTAAGTTCGTAAGCATTTTGAACAAATGTAAGAAAAACACTGAACAACAGAACAAGTTAAGGTGAGTTAATGATTATTGTGCCAGATAATGCTGATATTCAATTCCTATAATACATTAATAATACAATCAAAAGATGTGCGATCTGGTGTAGATGTATCAGGTCGGTTTGATTCACTGTGGCAAGCTTTCTTTCATTTCCCCCTAGTAATATTATTAGTTTTTCATTTTCAAATCATTTAGTGTGACTATTATAGAATTTTGGGACGACTTCTTCTCTTGAGGTAAAGTTTTTAGTCTTAATAGTATGGGTGCTTGATCCTTATCTCTTGACATATCCAACAGAGGACGTCTGAATGTTACCTGTTCATTGCACTATTCATAATGGGGCGTGGGCGCTGGTTCTTAAGAAGGTGGTCTGCAGGGTGTGGGCAGGCCTCCCCATCCTTGACTGTGCTCAATCAGCAAGGTAATTAAAAAAGGCCAACTTATGCCACGCCACACTGACTCCAGTGATTAAAACGACACCTCCACAGTTTCTCACAACAAACCACCAGGCCTCATTAAGGGAAAGAGGTGGACGTGTGTGCGTGCGTGTTAAACTTTAATTTGGTCGTAGTGTTTCTGTGATATGACACCAAATTTTTTGTGAGCCCCCAGCCTTCTTGTTTGGGCACATTAGTAACACAATTTGGACAGTTAATAGAATTTATTCCTGTAAATTCCACAAAAAAACCTTCTTTGTCGGTCCATTTTCCATTAGCTTTGTGTGCATGAGCTAATGCCCACAGAGCTAATGGAAACAAAGTTTGTTCCCATGTTGTATTCAATTATTCCTCTATTGTTTGCACTAATCAGTTTCTCAGATTAAAAGATAAAGCAACATTTAATTTCAATTTTTGTGACCAGAAGTTTGTTATGTGTAGTTATTATGGAAAGCTGCCATGCGTTGCCATGCCATGCCATGCCATGCCATGTTGTGCGATAGCACAACAGTTTTCATGAAAGATATCACAAACCGACTTATCTATCTGTATGTTCTCTGTTTCTGGACATTAACAGTTCATTTGCAAATATGCTGTACACGCAAAAAGATTGAGTAGAGAAGTTATTTTTTTCACCAGTTATTAAAAGATTGAAGAATGGAATAAAAATATATAGAAACAGCGTTATGGATTTTGATTGAATGGCTGTACTTTTTATGTTTCTGCATAGTGACCATTATTGCCATTTTAATGGCTGCCAGACAGTGGCCCTTATTTAAATATTTACAGTATCCCTCAACAATCATGTCTGTTGACATTTAGTCCTCTACTTTCTTCGCAAGGTCACCCTGCGGTGTAATGTGTAACAACCTCACCTAGTATTATAAAGGAGAAGGAAAAAGTCAACTTGGACGATTGATCAAGCTTGCTCTTTTTAAAGAAGTAAAAAAAGCTAGGATGATTGTGAATCTGGTTAAAAAGTTGCAAAGTTCAGCCCAATTCTGAAAGGGTACGACCTTAATGAGGCAGACATTGATTATGTGTGTCCACGAGAGTTGAGTATCGAGTGAGGCTCTCAGCAGGTCGACTGTCTCTAAATCATGGGCCTGACTCAGTATGTGTGCTGATTACATAGTCAAGGTTGAACCTCCTACACCTTCTCCAATGTGTTATAAATATTCATATGCCAGAGCCCACACACTCCGCTGGACTAATAGCCTGCTTAAATGTCTCCCTGGTGCGGCAGAGAGAATTGGGGGGAAAAGGGACAGGCAGAGAAAAACAATAGGAGAAATGTGTATGACTTAGTGTATGTGCATAAATGTGAGTTTGAAATATATCACTCTCCTTTTGAAACTGACTTTTATAGTTATCTTCTTCAAATGTGAACTGATCAGTTAGGTCATTTTTCATCACATGAGATTGAATTAACAGGAAAGAGTCTGGATAAAAGAAAATATATCAGAAACGGCACCTGCCTGGCCTTGGCGCTTTTCTTTTCTATGTTCTCTCCTATGTGAGCATTGTGAAAGGTGCGCGGTGACTCCAGGAAGCGCGAGCTAGAAACGTGAGGAAGTGGTAATGTTACAGATTATGCCCTCCTCGCGGGTCCTGGGGTTAATGAAACTTCTGATGAGAAACGCAATTTGCCTTCGTCTATTATCTCCACTGCCAATAGCCTGTGCTTCACCGCCTCCCCTACTCCTCTATGGGTTTTTCCACAGGGTTTAGTGATTGGTGGAAACGGAAACGAGGGGGACACGTCTAAAAAGATGATGAGTTTTTAATCTTTTTAACATTTACATGTCCTACTCAGCAGTGACACTGGCTCTGTCGATCTGGAATTGTCTCTGACCCAACCAGCCTCCCTCAAGGACCCCAGACGGTGTTTATCATATCAGAACCTGTTCTCCAGGTGACCCTGCGGGCCTTCTAGCTATCTGAAGCCTCTCTCTGCAGAGCTGGAGAGCATGCAGTGATAAATGAGGAATTGCTGAGGCTTGTCTGAACTTAGAGGACATTTAGAATTTTACTTTTCGTAGTGTACTGCTCAGAGGGATCTTTTTTGAATGCAAGTGTGAAATATTATAAAGGGCAGTTGATACAGAAATGCCAGTCCTACTCGATAGTTACTTCATAATGGCAGGATTTGACCTCTGATTCAAAGGGTCACTTTAGTTTGGTTCCAAGTACTTTGTATTCATTTACTGTACAAATCTCTGGAGGGAAAAGTGAGTAATAGAGGTGTCTTTATCCTAAAGATTACGAGCTATTTAGTTGCTAGATACATAGTGGACACAACATTATTCTCACAAGTTTCATCATGGCAATAGGCAGCTTGTTTTTTCAGTACATCGACATTGTTGTTGTGAGTTGGAAGAAAGGGAAAATATTCGGCTCTGATTATGTTGTCACATTTGTTGAAGTTATCACAAAAATATGATAACCAGAGTAGAAAGCTAGACTGATAAAGCAAAACAATGCAATATTCATGCAGTACATTGTGTATTCTCTTATCTCCAGGAGACAGTTCTCTTGCTAAAATGCCTTACTGAAGTACATATTTCACGTCTAAATGCCAGCGTGTTATTTCTGTAGACGGAAGACAATCATAGCATATCATTGGATGTTTTCATATCACCCTGATGTCAGAAGCATTATTACTTGTTATTTGACGGACACCTTTCGGCAGGGTTCTGGTCCTACAGGTTGTCTTTCTGTCGTAGTTCTTAACAGAGTTGTAATTAGACTCTCCTCTGCAGATGGATCAATGGAGATTCTGAGTGCTGTCAGACATGATGAATATTATTTTCCCACACTCTGGACAGTTAGGTGACAGCAGTGTCTGTCTTTGAGGAGACACTGCAGCAAAAAGTTGTCTACTGTCAATCACCGCCTCTGTTTGCACGAGTGTTTCTTCTGAAGCCCTGTCATCCTAAACCTCCCTCTACCTGCTGCTTTTCTTTCTCTAAGCCGTACCAAAGTGTTGTCATGCTGTGAGTTCTTCTTATGTGCGGTTTGCTGCAGAGACGGAAAGGCTACAGAGGTTGTAATTCAGAGCAAGGATTAAATGAACTGTATTCTAAGAGCAAATTGTTAACAGTGTGGGTGTGACTGAGCTGCAGGAGGAGGCAAGAAACCCATAACAGAAAGTGGAGGATGAAATGTTTGCTAATGAGCTGAGCATTTACTCTGTCTCCTTGACACCGGTTGCATTAACTGCAGCCATCTCCTGGTAACTAGTTTTCACTAGTTCACCAGTATCACTGACTTGTTCTTTACTTCAAGCATGGAAGACAATACAAATCGTTTTATATATTTCTGTTTGCCCCTGAAATGTTTGACGGTTGAGTTTAAATGTTATGTAATTCCTTTCTTCAATTATAAATGGATCTTTTATTTAAGTCATCACAAAGAGCAGAATACATCAGTGGCACTTTCAGGACATGCAAGCACCCATAAAGACAATTCTACCCATAAAGGAAACCATTTCTTGCTACCACCGGTGCTTCAATCATTTGAAGCCAAGCATTTTAGACGCAATTGTTTTTTTCCTTTCCTTAGAAGAGGTTTGTTTGGTGGGATTCTGTCCTTCTGTCCACAAGGTATCTGAAAAGCCTTTTGGTAAAGAGGTCCAATATAACCGGGTCTTTGAGCAATGTGATATTTCAAACATTTAATTAGAAGATGATGTTGATCTGGATTTAGGGATTGAAGACAATGAGTTTTATCTTTTTAAGTCAAAACAATTAAGCTGAATTAGATGGTCTTGATTTCAAGTCTGCCCAAAAAAAACGAATTTAACTTCACACTAAACTAAAGTTTAAAAATGTATCATTTGTTGACGTTTGTTTGTCTTTGTACACTTTCTATTTGTGATACTGAGAATGTGTAAAAAAAAAAAAAAAACAGAGCACCCCCACACCTTTTGGTTGAATCACAAAATAGGCACATTAACTAAAGTATTAGGTAATTTGCTATAAAACTAAGAAAGAAATGTCATTGCACATTTCAGGTCTTATTGTTGATCTGATTTAACTGGCATTAGGTTTTTGTGTGCGCGTGTCCACCGGCCTGTTGTTACCACATGTAACCAGGTAATAATAGACCTTGACAATAGGGATTATCCTATCTAACTAATGCAGCGGGGGAGTAATCTTGACACACACAGACACTCCCTCCATTACTGCAGTGTCGCAGCACACCGCATGGCACTCCTGTCTTCAGAGCACGTTTTGGCCTGGCATCTTTACTTTCATGCTTAATTACCTGCCAAGATAGAGCGGTGGAGACACGGAAATCATACATGTATGATGTCCCTGACATGAATATTATGTAGATAGGTTGGTGCGCTGCTGTGATATGAGGATGTTTGTGCTTCTTTTGTGTCAGTGTGTGTTTGTGTGTGTTTAAGCACTCTAGACATATTTCTCTTTGTCAGTCATACAGCATTTGTCTATCACACCTCGCTTTACTCAGAGAAAGCACAGAGATGACAGTATAAACTAGGATTCAAAAGAAATTCAGCAATGTTACAACAACTAACACAAAATATTCAACATGGATTAAATCAGTTGTTGATTCAATTTTTTGTGTGTAGTAAAACATCATAAAACGTCATACTTTCATTGAGCATAAGGCCAACCTGCCTGTTTTGCTTGACCGGCGTCAGTCTGAAATCACATTAAGATTCAAGAATAGCATGAAATAGCACAAAATGACAGACTGGAACTGTGCAATGTTTGGTACTTTAATAATGAATTGAATGACTAATTGCTTTGCATACTTTTTTATCTGTTCATGGATTAATTCACTAATTGTCAAGCTCTAGCAACAAGACGAATAGACCTGTCATTACTCTTTAAAATGAAATAACACATTTTCGGACAGTATAACTCAGTGTTCCAACAGACACAATATTGCTGTAAGCAAATCACATTTATTTGCCTAAGAAGATCCTCTGTTTCTAACTCTCTCTTTCCCTTCTCTTTGCGTCCCCAGTTGATGAAGTGGCCCTGAGGAAAACCATCACTGATGAGCTGCACAAAGACATGGAGCAGGATCGGGCCAAAGCAGAGCAAGAGCTGCAAGCCTGGTTAGACACAAACACAGAGACACACAAACACATGCACTGTTTTGCTGTGGAATGGTTAATGGTCTTGTTTATGACCTTCAACAAAAGCATATGGTGTTGCAAGGCATTTTACTTATTCCAGAAGTAAATTGATTGCCATAATTTGTTTTCTGGAGTTGAAATTAACATTCCTGGGTTTCCTGAAAGTCAAACCCTCTGCCGTTCTCTGTGTGGTGTGCGTTTCTCTCTCTTTCTCTTCTCTCTGCCCTACCTTCCTTCTTTGGATCATGATAGATCGCGTCAGGGTACTGCACCAAGTGTCAACTCCTCTTGCAGGATTTCATTAGAAACAAGAGATATTTTCACATGTGACAGTTTCCCGCTTTCATTAATAGTCAAAAAGGTCAGCACCATTCCTTCCGATTCCCCACTGTGTTTCCGATCCACCCCACTTCCGAAGCGCATCAGCACTTTTTCCTCTCTCCATCTCTGCTTCTTATACCCTTCTCCGGATCAATTAATCATGCCTGAGAGAGGAGGGCGCTATCCTGAGGTAATTTCCTGGGTGTTGAGTGGGTGATCCATTAGCCCTGCCTGATGAAGAAACACTGTTCATGTAAAGAGCATATTCCACCTCTCCTCTCTTCCATTGTTCTCTTTTCTTTTCGACCCTAAAGAAGCAGTTGCGTATGCCAAAATGTCCGATAATCGTGTTGCGCCCCCCTTGTTAATGTTAATGTGGTTTTGAGAAATCATTTGTCTATAGATTTTTTTTATCCTGGCTATTTTGTTTGTGTGATGTAACTGCTTCCTGCAGCTCACTTATTGTCTGTTCAGAGCAGTAAGTGCCTCAAAATTACACCCTCCTTGCAATTAATTGAAATTATTGTCGCTCTCAAGCTCTCAAATGTAGTTTGTGCTTGTTACGGGTTGCTTTTTCACTAAAGAAGACTTAACTGAACATGAAATGGTCAATAAGCAATCATCAGCTTGCCAGCACTGTGTGTGGAGGCATATTAATATCAGTTTTAAAGTGGCCTTGTGTACTGTTTGTTTTTTCTCTTGCACATTTTGACAGAATATTGTCAAATCAAATGCAAGCAGAGTTTCATTAGAAATACAAAGTGTATCCATTGTGTTAGACACACATGAGACTGACAACGTGCCTGAAATGCCTCCTGTGTAAACACTGCTACAACTACCGGGGGCGTATTTATGGTATTCATATTAAGTAAAGTAAAACACATGGACAGTGCAAGTCATAAGCTTAGACACTATCACTTCATCCAAATCCCTATTAATATGAGCTGAGCCACAATTACATTTGTCATTGAGATTAAAGAGCATCTTGCAGGGTTTTTTTTTTCTACATTTATGCTTAAACTTGCTTGAAAATTACAATTAAAAAAGTGAATGTAGGATTTGATATGTTTTACGAGACATAAGGGCAGGAATTCAGAGGGAAATGAGCAATTTTGAGCTCTGCTCTTAAAAACGGCTTTTTTTTAAAGTCATACAGTACGTCAAACGCGTCATATTACATAACAAAGGGGAAACATCTCCGCTCTCTGACCGCGGGTATAGTTAGTAGTTGCGTTGAGTTGAGCGGTTGTGTTTTAGTGAGCTGGTATTTTTCGGTAGTTTTACATTGTATTTCACCATTTGTAATCATGGTGCAGTATTGTGTTTGTGCAGGTTGCACAAATACCAGCCTGTCAGGGCATCGAGTCCACAGTTTCCCTCACGGGAAAAGGACCGGAGCTAGCGTTCGTTCCTGGGTGCGTTGTGCATCCACCTCCCTGCAGCACATACTCTCCACAGCTTTATCAGGATCCCATATTACATCTCTCTCCTCCCCCCCCCCTTCGCTGCTCTCTTTCTCTCTCCCCTCCGGTAC